ATCCCCGTGAACACTGGGACACAACTCAATGGGAAAGGAAAGGATTCTGATTTCAACCGTTGCGTCTGACTGAAAAATTGTGATTGACAGATGATCATTGATATATGATTGGACGAATTTAGGTGTTCAGGCTGACGTAGAACTAACTGGTCTAGAAGATAACGAAAAAAAAAAAAAGATTTTAAGACAGAATTTGTTTTTCAATAGAAATTTTCGAACTTTTTGGACAATATTGTCTGATATAGAGTACATTTATATACATATTTAGGCCAGAATGATTGGACATTTAAATATGACTTCCCTAAGACTTTAATTCTGAAAGATCAGGGAAAACACAAAGATAATTTATTTTACTGCTGGATTTTAATATCTAGTGGGACAAATGTTTTCTTCTTCTTCTCAGTCAAGGGCCCTTGGAATATTCCCAACTTCTCCCCCATATGACGCCCCCATGAGTGCAGCTCATCTTGCTTCTTTATGAAAAAGAGAGAAAGAAAACCCTTCAACTAACGTCACAGATCTCTGATAATCACCTCTGTCTCACCCAGTACGAATATAAAGCTATAAAGCGTCCCGCAGTGTTTCTTGCTGCACTTTTCTTCAAAAGTAGTTCCCATTATATTTCTAATAAAACCCTCGATCTCTTCTGGTTTTTGAGAAGCTATGCAGCAGTCGGGCCGTGAAGTGAGGCTTTTAACTGTGCTATTTTGGTTTTGTTTTAAACGACTTTTAATTATCTTTCCCTGTCAAATGTGTTTCAATTCATGAGGTACAGAGAAAAAAGGGAAAAAAAAAAAAAAGATATTGGGGTCCTACACATCTTTAAGAGTAGCTATTATTTTATGAGGATATAAATGAAGTAAAAGTAAAAAGCATGGTTTAGTAAATTGCTAAAAATTATTTTTTTTTGTTAGTTAGTTACTGAAGTAAAATTGTAATAAATGTAATGTACTATCAACCTCTGCATATAATACATGGAAATGCTAAAGGGACTACACGTGAACTGTAGAATCTGTAATTCATTTGTAAAAATGTTTTAGTTTAGTTTTAGTGTCTAATAAGTCACAGATCTAGATAGATCTTTTTTTTTAGATTTTTAAATCAGAATGCATTTACTGAGAAAGACAAATCCAAAATACTGATGTTCTGTTAAAACACAAATCTTGATGTGGAAAATAAAACCACAACAATTAACAGCAAAATTAGATTTTTCTCCTTTCAAAAAAAAAAAAAAAATGTACAATAATAAAAACATTTATTTATCTTTGAACTCTTTTCCCTGCGTTTCTTTGTGTTTCCAGGCGGTAAATTAACTCTTCACACCTGTTAGGCTCATATGGATTTAAAATCTTAAGTTTCTATGTAAGAATGAAGTGGAGCAGCTGCGTTGCTCTGCAGTGTTGTGTGCTTCGGTTTGAGTGGACTGACCCCGGCCGGATCTCAGACTGGTGGCGGACGACGCTGTAGCGTATGGCGATGGTGCAGGACTTGGAGAGGGCCCGAGCCGACTCGCCTACAATCATTGAGCGGACAAACACCATGGTGCCATAGGTCAGCTTGGAGCTGGGTGGCTTCACATAGGTCCCATCTGGCTCCACCTAGTGGTGACAAAATGACACTTCAGCACTGAAGCCTTATTATGACTGCACGTTTTCTAGGTAAGAGGTCTGCAACCTTTTAGGAGCCATTTTGCCCAGTGAAATAAAAGCTGTTTGAAACCAATATTATTACATCACCCTCTAATGAAAAACAGATTTTTATTTTTATGAAATATATGCCGAAGGGAATCTGTTCCCTTTTCAAATAACCTACAGTTTGTGTTTTTTAGGTTATAAATCAAGCATGGATTTTCTTTTATAGGATATTTTCTGATATCTAATGACAAGAAAAGAAGAGCTAAAAACATACATTTGTTATCAAAATACATTCAAATCCATTAGCTGGCTCTTTAAAATCGTGAGCCATTAATAAAGGAAAAGTCCGGTCATATT